AAACGATAGTCCGTCAGCAATAAAAAAGACGATCTCCCTTGAGCGGCAAAATAAAATTGGCTCAGCTGAGCAGAGGCTTAGGGGTCTTGGAAACTCTTGGCCGTCACTAAAATATGACGTCGAGGCGTTGCTGATTGCCGTGCCTGTGTACTAAGGGAGCCGTAGGTAGATAGATATTGGTTGAACGTAGTACCAAAGTCGGATCGCGAGTGTCTGAGAGGCAGTGAGTCCCGACCCTGAACCCCAAGGACTCAACGACGGGCTACTTGGAAAATATGTAAGGATTCCTAGAAGGTGGGAGAAAGAAGCGATAGAAATGGAAACTGGAAACTATAAACCGGAAACTAAGAATTCAGGAATCGGGAATGGGGAGGGGAAGACCCTATGAGGGATGGACCAAAAGCTACGGGATCTGGTTCTGCGTTCTTGATGGTTTGTTTGCATGTGGATACTTGGTGAATACTACACTAGAATAAGTAGAGAGCTACTACCTCCTAGTCAGTAAAAAAGGATTTGACCACCGCACGGCGCAACTCTGGAGTAACGCTAGAGCGGTGGGAAAAGGAAACGACTGGGAAATCGAGAACCAAGCGTTAGAAATAGGCGGTATGCGCAACTTAACTGGTTCTAAATTGTACTTAACATATTTGTATATTTGTACATACATAATGAAGAAAAAGGCAAATGGCGACTTCCCTATCAGAGGCTCACGGTGGTACAAAGATGTAGGTAGTACCTATGCAAGTAGTACCGTGCCTGTCATTTGAGTTTAGTCAGAGCTAACAAACGAACCACATAGCGAACACTAAACCTAGCAAAAAAAAAAAAAAAAAAAGCCTAGGACTCACCCGGGGCTACGTACCGTTAGCACGTACCGTGACCCCAGTACTCCGTGCGTGACGACACTGTGGGAATGATTGCTGCTAATAGCGGATAATGAAGGCTTGGAATCTTGGCTTTGAACGTGGATTACGGGCGGGGATCTACGAGGACCAGGTACTTCCCTGTTCTTTCGCCTTTCAATTCAATCTTTTTTTATCGATGCAGCATCAGCACCAGCCATTCATCACCGAGAAACCCCCGGTCAAAACGACAAGACGAGGCGGTCGTAGGCGGTACTAAGTAACGTGTGTCAATGGTACTTGCTTACATGCCTCTGACTTACATGTACCTAAGTGAATAATTACGACCCAGCGTACGGTGCGTATATGCCTATGTACATCAATCGTGTATATTAATTAATAGGTATATGTACCTACCTAATGTAAGTACGGACAAAGGTATGCATTACTCGCCTTTGTAGATAATTTGATTATTGCGAAATAAATGAATTGACAACCGCCTATGTATGCAGAACAATGCCGGATGAGTAGGCCGTTTACATCCTGATTTATACGGTAGCATTTCCTTTCCCAGCACAATGGGTATAGAATGCCGGTTTCGCTTTTTCCTCATCTAGTGCCTATCTAAATGTATATGCATATGCATTATGACTCGGGCTATTGCCGTACAATTGCAATACATTGTACATATCATATATCATATCATGGCATAACAAGGCAAGCGTGGGAAGGTCGTGCGTGGTAGTACAAGGGGCCGAGGCCGCTCTTGAAAGAAAAAAAAATGTCCGGGCGCATCTGGACCTGCAAGTAATCTCCCTTAGGCAATCGGTATGTATTATACCCAAATGTATAATACAGTATTATTCGTGTGTATTATTGTGTTTTATTTTAATACACGTATGTTCGGAACCGGAGATACCTTTCGGGTACTTATATATTGACGTAATCCCATATAAATTCCAGATACAAAGTGTACTTATACGTACCTTAAGTTCGTTGGCCCGAGCACCGGGACTTAAAAGACCGAGTGGCTGGAAAGTGGCTAAAATAATGGAGAGGTATACATTAAAATGCGGTTAAAGCGTGGCTGGAGTGTGGCATGTGCACTCGGAAGTTGGATGTTCCGGTTCCGGCGAATTATACTGAATTATACGCGTATTTGAGTGTATTACAGGGGTACAGTATAATACGCGTGTAATAAAATAATACACGTGTAATAGAAACCCTAATCTCCCTTATTTTCTTAAGCTGTAGGTAGTCACGTAGTGTAGGGTTAGGTACATGAACGCCGGGCTGAATATCTACAGATCCGTTTATGTTCTACTCGATCGCCGGACAGTGAACCACTTTTTGAACTAGCAATTTTTTTTTTCTTCTTCTCAATTTCGCGCACCACGTTTCGTTCCGATTAGATAGTGAAACTCGTCGGCTATGTACATTACAGTCTAGTTAGTTGATCTAAAGCAATGCAAATTTCTTATTTACAGGCTAGAAAAACTTTTTCATTGTTGGTCTGACTCCGTTGGGGAAGAATAATAGCAGCATCCCCTTTTTTCCATAAACCGCTCATATTGTTTTAAGTTCACAGTGTCCGTGATCAAACCCCTATTATTGCCGGGCTACTCATTGTACATAATGAATTAATCCGAATAATAACTTGTTTTTTCGTTTTGTCTTTTCGTTTTGTCTGTGTGTGTGTGTGTGTGTGTGTGTGTGTGTGGTTGTAAGCTTTCTTTTAATGAATGGATTACCGGATTCTTACGACATCCTTTTTCCAAAGTGCTTCTTACTATTGATATCTAGAAGACTCTTTAATCAAGATGCAAATGCAGATAAAGAATCCGGATGCAACCGTACATGAGCCTGTCGTCTAACCTACCACCCCTTTCGCTTATGCCGAAAGTTGTGTAAGGATACTCTCAGCAATCTCCTACCGACTAACTGCATACACTGCATACTAATGTAGGTAAAATGTAGGTACGCCAAACCTAGACGCTTATGTGTATCGTATCATTGCATAACCTCCTATGTAGAAGAAAAAAAAAGTTTGGTTCGTTTCGGACAGGCGGTGAACTCTCAGCGCTTTACGGGGGCCTTAAAGTTCTTTTAGTAAGTCTCGTACCGACTCTTCCCAAACCAAAGTAAACAGATCCTGGGAAACGTAAGACGTAAGATACCTGTTAGCCCTACAAGTACGAAATAGTTTCGCAAAGCCATGACAACTGTCCCAGCAGAGGAATATGTTGTACAGTGCAGAACAGTATGGTACATAACCAGATCCGTTGCCCCGGCTCTACGAAGCTTCGTGATTCGTCGAGTATCGATTCGACATTGCCCTCCCGCGTCCAGCATGACATTTGGTACCGTTACGCAGTACGTCTGCAAGCTGCAGCACGCAACCTAATTTGGGCCACACCCGCGGGTACTCGGGACAATACATTGGAAGTATATCGTTAGTGACATGTGGGTTTCTTCGCTTGCCTCATATGTAACTCTATCACTCACACCATCATGCCCTCTGACATCAGAAAGAAATGTTCAACAACCACTAGGGTTTCACCTCATTATGTCGTCGTTGATCTCAGAAACAAATTGGAGTGCAGCCCTCGCAGACCACGTGTTGGTTTTGCGCTGCTGGGACATGTGAGACTTTTGGGTAGGTAGTCGACGTGACGGAGAGTGGCAATCCTTGTGCGTTTCTCCAAATCCCATCGACAGTTCCGCCAATGGAAGGCGTGTCGCTGACTCGCTGGGCACATTGTACGGCGTATAAGCCGGATATACTAATATAGAGCCCAAGAATCCCTCTTTTGAGAACGAAAGGGGGTTGATCTGCTTCAACATACGGTTTGAGGCACGCTCTTCGTCGGCTTGCTGGCTTGAGGGGTAGCCTGACTAGCCTGACTGTATCTTGCGATACTCTATTCGTTCCTCTCAAAATTAGCTGACGAGTTGAAGCGCTGCCCAAGCTGCATCGTTGCGTCCATCGTTTCTCTTCTCGCTCTGGTCACTCGGTGATCAGACAGCAGCGACGGGCCGATGCCTAGTCCAATTCGTACTTGTGATCTTGCCCTTTCTGTTATGGTAAGGAGGATCGAATCCCCTCCCTCCCACATTCAGCCTAGCATTATGGATGTTAGATCTCCATAGTAGTACCCTTTATATGCAGATACTAGCTTCGAGGACCCCGCATTCAAAACTGCCCAGCAAGCTTGTTCGTAGTACTAAAGGCGGTATCAGCGCGTGGGAAAAAATACTAAACCTAGCATGGTCAATTCTCCGTTGACGGTTTGTGTCTTTATTCCTGCTGTGCACATGGGTGAGGCATGGCAGGGTCCATATCCTTGTTGGTATACACTACTACTATATGTAGGTATGTGTAGTCTATCCCCTCACTCGTGATGTTTGATAGATGTGTAACATCGGCTTACATGTACGTATGTATGTACGAATGTAGGATCCTCCAGGGTCTCTACTCGAATCCGCAGGTTTTAGGGTCATCATTTACTTGAGCAAGGCTAAATAAGATGCTAGAATTAGACTCGGAAGCATGATGAACCACAAATCAAGCAATGATGCAATACACGGAGTTTCAATCGATCGATGCCTTCCAACATGCATCATTTCGCTCGAGTTGTACAAAGATTCATTGATCCCGGCATACGATTCAAAATCAATTGATGATCCTCGCTTGGCAGGGCAGAGTTCGGTTTAACAAGGCTACTTTCTTTCAAAACCCAACCCGCCACGTTTTGACAGCGATGCCACTTTACTACCTACTGTTTCTAGTGTACGGAATAAAACAAGCGGTAATATGATTAATCGGTGTAGATATATTAATTGTGAATTCTATTGTACGTTCTTGGGTTATTCCCGGAGTATCTTATAAAAATAAGAGGTAAGAGAAGTATATATCTGGATTTTGAATATACCCTAAGTATCCGATTTAAGATATCATGCCATCTGTTTGTTGTTTGCTGTAAGTGCTCACTCAGGAGGATGCTGCACTCCCAGCCAGCCAGCCAGCTTAAGGGGTGGCTTGATGACTAAGGTGGATTACTCAATCATGTGATTTACTAACTGTTCTATTCTGTCTGTCAACTCTGTCAATTTTCAAAGTCGGATGTCTTCAAGTCACGTGCTGTAACCTTACCAAATAAGGCTAGACTCAATTCTCTACCGAAGGCCCGACAACTTCGAAATTGCTTCAAGCCAACGTTTATCGTGAGCTTGCCCTGTCGCGTATTCCTCAATTGGCAGCACTAGTCATCATGAACACTCTCCGTGTCGCTCGCGCAGCCCTTAGGGCTCGTCCCGCAGCTATGCGGCTCCCTATTCAGCCTCTTCAGCGAAGAACCTATGCTGAGGCCGCATCCGACAAGGTTTGTCTTCTCGCCCGGTATCTATTCTTGTGCCGAGTCTGTTGCTAACTCTCGCCCCAGATCAAGCTGAGCTTGTCTCTCCCTCATCAGGTATGAGATTTAACCCCGCCGTACCGTGTTATCCTCGAAATATTGCCATCGAGAGCGCACAATCCTAATTAGCGCATGCTACAATACAATACAATATAGTATAACTAGCTAGCTAATTCCCGCAATAGTCTATATACAAGTCCCAAGATGTTATTCAAGTCAACATCCCCGCCGAGTCTGGAGAAATGGGTGTTCTTGCCAACCACGTGCCTTCGATTGAGCAATTGAAGCCAGGTCTGATCGAGGTCATAGAGGAGACTGGTAGCAGCAAGCAATTCTTCCGTACGTAACACGAGAAATACTGTACCAAAATGCAGTTTGAAATCTAACCCCATAACAGTCTCCGGTGGCTTTGCCGTCGTGCAGCCCAACTCGGTTCTAAGCATCAACGCTGTCGAGGGATACCCTCTGGAAGACTTCAGCGCAGAAGCTGTCAAGGCACAGATCGCCGAAGCACAAAAGGTTGCGAATGGTGGCGGAAGTGAGCAGGACATTGCGGAAGCCAAGATTGAGCTAGAGGTATGTTACAAATTAATATTTATATACAGCTATTCGAATCACGATTAAATGATTGCTAACATATTATATTCATAGGTTCTGGAGAGCTTGCAAGCTGTTCTCAAATAGATCATACCTTAGAGAAAGGGGAGAGAAAGTTAAATGGCAACCTCTGTATATCACAAACATGCTCCATATCACAAAGCCGCCTAATAGCACGAATTGAACATGCTCAAGGTCTACTGGACGCTCTAGTATTTTCCGCTATTCGTATCAGCGCTTGCCTTGATTCTTCCTGCAGCTTCCCTGCTTTTTCTTTCCAGGGTCCAAAGTTAAAAATCTTGCTATTTCTATATATTTAAATCTACCTACCTTAGGAGTCTACATCTTAGGAGTCTACCTTAGTAAGTGGGTATCTACATACATCTAACTTATGCCTGTGGCCAAGGCCAACCTAAACCATCTTCCTATCAACCACCACAAGTATATCGAATATTGGTTATTTTATTTTAGTGGCAACCCACTGTCGTGGCCGACTCTTGCTGTTAGTCATAGATTTAAAACCGACATCTTAGCTGTTAAACATGTCGAACTGCTCATGGAGTGACCCTCTGGCGAGTGCAAACGTATCCACTGCCTACGAACCAGCATTGTTGGCCCAAGGAATCATTCCGAAAGGAACTGTTTCATCGCGGATACGTCGGCTTCACCGCCTTACTCATTCTCATCACGGCCTACCGGAGGATTCCGAGTTTATAGCCCGAGAACGAAAATATGTACTGATTGGCTAGGGACGGCATTCCGGCTCATATTTTCATGTTGCGAGACCATGGCTTGGCCCTCTTACATATTCACTTGCAGGCTTGGAGCGTGACCGGAATGACCGGAGTGACCATAATCAAGGCCCTGTCATTACAGTCAGTACCTCTAACTTAGCTAAGAATGTTCAGAGGCCTGCAAAATCGGGCCAGCATTATCGTCCGAATTACTCCAGCGACTTCGCGCTTGATAGTCCAAGGTATGATATCACAGGTCCGAATACCCGACTGTACCACCCCTTGGCATTTGACGACTTGATTTCGTCTTCGAATTTCCATCCCCCTCCCTCGGCGATTCAACCCCTAGAGACGACGCCACAATATATGTCATCAGCATCAAGGGCCTCGAGCGCGTCGACGATATCTCAAACTTCATATCTAGCTACTGAAGCCAAGCAACGCCAATCTGCCCGCGAACTGTTTGAGCAGCATGGTATCAGGAGGCCAACCGGTTGGTTTTCTGATGATGAAGACCTATCTCTCTTAGGCGATAGGACTGCCGGCCCCCGACGCTTCTGCAGAATCTGCCACGTCTGTTCTACGCCAACTAGGTCGCAAACTCATTGCTTATCTTGTCAGCATCGTTTATGTGAAAAATGCTTATGCGAGGTCCCTAAGAGCACTGAAAAGGAGCATAAAACATTTTCGCACAACCATAATCATACTACCAGGCAGGATAAAGCACAGTATACTAAACCAGCCTTATCAAACCCGGAGCCCGTACGATTAGCACAGGAAGTATCACGATCGCATAACAGGACTAGGAATAATCGATCGGCTCAGGGTACGGCCCTACACCAGCCATCTTATGCACATTATCAAGGAAACTCTGCCGCCAAGATACAGCCAGTGACTTCGAAAAACATAGTCAGTGAGAAGCCGGCACAACCCGCGGCACTATACACTGCAAGTCTTGTATCAGAAAGGCCAAACTCACCACAGGGTTTGCCCGTTCGCTCAGTGAAGCAGAATCCTTTTGTGGTCGGTGATAAGGAGAGGGTAGAATCAACTACGGAATCCCACGTTCGTGAGCCATTAGCTGCCCGACATTATCATTGCTACAGGCCCCAACCACAGATAGGTGGTAGGGATCATGAAGTATCTAATAGCCATGTAGAATGTGATAATCCCATGTGTAGAGCGACACATGCCGGGCATTACCCGTACCGACATAGCATCACTTGTGCTTTGCACCGAAGTGAAGAGTTCGAAAAGCATGGGGGCTCGCGCAGAGAATTACCAGTATCAGACAATCCTTCCGTCGCCCATCCGCTAGGCCCGCAGTCTAGGAAAGACACGTTGCGACCCCCATATAATACAATCCATCGGCATCATTTTGCAGGTCTCGAGACACCCTATCATATTATTGCAGAACATATTACTAGTGGCGCTAACCACGGAATTCGGCACCTAGACAATAATCATGCGGGTAAAACTGTCGATGGGGGTATCACAGGCCAACGCCAAGAGTTCAAATCTACCGAAACCGAATGTGCTTCCCACGCTGGTCGAGGATATGAGGATAACCACGATATTGCAGGCACCCATGCCATAACAAGGGGTGAGGCTGCCAGTAGAGCACATACGGCAAACACGGCGAAAGAGATTGGACGTGGCACCCGAGGTAGGAAATCTTTACCAAAAAGCCGTGTGTTCAGTCCACCATCATGGCTACAGGCGCCGAGTAAAGAAGCGGGCGACGCTCGGTCTAGACTGCATCATATCGATGTCGGAAACCACCAAGGGCGTTCGTTACACGTTGATGTAATGAACCTAGGGGGAGGGGGGGTAAATTATTCACGGAGTCTAGTTCATGGGCCAAACCCCGAAAAGGATTCATCCAACCTGTTAACCCGCTCGAGTCAAGATTTCTTACGGGTTTCTGCTCCTTCGCCTCCAACGGCTTTGCATATCACGCAACACCAAAGACCAGAGTCCTAGCAGGATCATTCGTCTCAGCATTTGTCGTCAAGAGCAAGCTTTGAGGCACATACCCATACAGAAACTTCGCAAGCGGAAGATCGGCAAGCATCCTCACACGACAGACGTCGTCCAACGCACCTTCAGGTTGAAGATATTAGATACTCACGAAATACATATCGTAGCACCCCACTCGCTCGTTCGGATATCTCCAATTCGCAGCATAGTCTAGAGGGCTCCGAACGCCCTCGCAGCTTTGTGCATGAACAATCCCGGATTAAATCCAACGATCCTGAAAATGGGCGTGTTCATCCCAGAGATGACACCCGTACAGTACGCGAGAATAGACATTCTCCATTGAGTACTACGACTCGTGCTAGCCACTCGCCTCTGCAGCCACGACAGATCCTACGTGATGTGGACGAACGCGGGATGTTTGAAAGCAGGAGTGCAATGCTGGAACCTGAAGATAGAAAATCGTCTGTCACAATCACTGGCGCGACTTCGGAGTTCGAAGTTCACCGGCCCAGTCCCATCTCGCCCTCAAACCACGATTGTAGCTGGAAGGACCTCTATCTGGCACTGACAGCTGAGATTCGCTTGCTGAAGGCAGAACTGTCTACTAGGGCTTCCCTTGGCGGAGCAGATGTCGATTATACAAGACGGGCTGGCGAGGACATTGCGAATGAAGAGGATGACCTGGGGATCGAGGGGGTCACGATTGTTGTGCACTTGAAGGGCAAGGACGACTTGGTTATCAATACGGACTTAACCCAGGCAGTCGAATGATACAATACAGTATCTTGAGGCTGAACACCTAGGGGTGTTCAGGGGAGGACAGGGTGGGTGAGAACGGGGTTAAGATGCTAAGCCGTTCCATTGATGAAGACGAGGCCATGGTGGTGGTATACAGGTCACTACCTACTCAGTGGCCTTTAAGTCAATCGTCAATCTTCATCGTTAGACTAGTATTCGGCTTCCACGCAACCTTTAATTCAACAGAAATTAACAATGCCTAGCGGTGCAAACTGGGACTGGTAATTTCGACTGCAGAACTGTAGTAGTTACTTCAAGCCTTCTTGCGTACCTAAATCACTGCCCTGGAGATGTCGTAGTTCTATAGCTCTAGCTTTTTCCTACTTTGCCTTATGTACCTAACCTAAGGTACACCTGTATTGCCTGGTCCTTCGTCCTACTGCTCGTGTATCGAGTTCCTCTTACGGCCAGCCACAGTAGGTATTACGTCTCTGCCTACCTACCTATATATAGAAGGGCCGTGAAAAGAGCCGCTAACAGCCCAAGCAATTTTTAATATCGCTTCCTTAATTAATGTACGCCGTTCTGCTGAGGCGGTACTTTCAGATTAGCTAATATATATATTTATAGTCATTCGAAGTTCCGTTTATATATATGGGGGGAATACCTACCTAGCTCTCTTGGGGAGGCGTTATGGCCGTGCGTCGGATACGGATTAGGGGTATTGCTACAGTGTAGGTAGGTATGTACTATGGTGCGATGTGGGTTTGTGCCGGTGTACGGATTACATAGGCTTGGAATCTCGATCTATGTATAGCTCTACGGGGAGATGGGGCTGAAGAGACGGGACGGGACGGTGCGTGGGATATTATGGGGGAGGTGGTAGGTAGATGGGGTTGGTTGCTGTGCTGTGGAAGATGAGGATGGTGGAAAGCTAGGTAGGTAGTTAGTTGGTTGTGTTATAAGGGATGAATGACATGACATACACACTCGATTCACAGGCTTGAACTACGTCTGGTGGGGGTTTTCTCTTTCGTTTAGAACGAGTATCGTATTTGATGGAGATATAGAATGGCTAATAAATACAATGACTTCATCGCTAGCTATGTTTTCTGCACGGGGCCGAAGATATCAGGTCGGATGCTCAAAGCTGTATAGTAAATACTAGGATCGTTCTCGCATCAATCAATCAATCATCTGGATCAAGCATCCCAATACGGCCTGTTTTTCTTACTTTGTCTGTGGTTATTTGATTTATATAAAGTGTGTCTGAAGTGTGTCACCGACCTTTTCTTAATATCGTAACCGGACATTAGGTAGGTGGCTTGGTATTTAGACACTTCGACTATTTCGAGTTACGTATATGTCGAGGTATAGGTAGTAGCATGCTATCTATCTACGGTTATGTATGTCATAGCTCACATCGTACAGGCTCGAACTCCACTGACGTATCTAGCTAAAGCTATGACGGTCTGTGGGCTCGTCTGGATTTAGATTCGTCCCGAGAAAAAAAAGCCTCAATATCCCTTGTGCCAATCCCAACGTCCTACGAGAAGCAGGGACCCGTGTTCTTAAGCGAGTTTGCTCTGGTTACCCGGAATGCCTTTGCATTTCTTGGTCTAGACCGCCTTCCCGTGCAGTTGGTGCGAAGCAAACTGGTCTAGTGTCACCATCATCGTAACTCTTGTGTCTTATACTGAAGTACTTATTCTGGGTTCACCCTTGATAGACATGCTTCGTACGGTATGGCTTGTGTAATGGGTATGGTGTCATGCCGTTTATTAGTGTCAGTTGTTGTACTCATCACGAGAGATATATAGTAGATCCTCTATTATATGCTGGTTTAAGCTTTTGATAGCTTGCTTGTTTGTTTGAACGTCGAGTGCTGTATGTCTCGAGAGAACCCTCCCCGTGCCTAAGATACCTACCTACCTGGGTACATTACCGCGTAGTAGGTAACTCTACATATGCGGTACAATGGAAGGGGTTAGTAAATACAAAAACACTACTGGGAGCCTAGAGCGCGGTAGAAGCTTTGATCGTCCGGAATGACACCAACTAGCAGGTGCTCTAGAACGCCAGACATGGTCCTCTAAACAGACTTATAGCAGCATCTCGACGACAGGTTTGATCACGGCAAGTAATTGCGAGAAATTTACAACGTTGGGTGGTACTGAGACAGGAGGTTGTTTCGGTAGCCACGCAGACGATCAATTTCCCAATGCGATTTCATGTCGGAGATCAAACATCTAAGAGATCGGGCGATTAAGGATGCATCAACAGCGTCAATACGAATCACACCTCAGCTCCCTAAAATACCCGACTCGAACGAGCCGTAAAGAAATAAGCTGAGTCGGGTCAAAAGTTATACTGGATGGTCGACTCGTCTCACCTTCAGACATGCATAGGATGGAGGAGATCTAAAATTGTGGCGTCAGGACAATCATCATGCGAGCCTGACAGCCTGATCCTCGTGCGCTTAACGTGTCTTAAGTAAGCTTTCCCGCCAAGTGGATGGGAATCCTGTCGGGTTTACGTTATAGTCTGCTTGCTAGGGCTGGGGACAAGAGTTTGGTCCAGAAATACTGGACGGGAGATCATCTTTGATAATGCCAAGACGACGTCCACGAGCAATAAGCTTTGCCAAGTTGCCAAGACCATGTCCATCGGAAGCGGGAAGTAAGCAATTCTTGGGATCCTTGGCGATGAGTGCCGAGAACAGCAAAGATCGCGGGGTAGCTATTTTTCCCTTTTTTTTCTTCCCGGATTCGAAGATGAGATTTGATATTAGCATTTGCTTTTCGGGATGCTTTAACGTGGCTAAGCTTTGTGGTTCGCGCGCCACACAGGCAGAATACCTAGATCAGATCAGGGGGTGCCGCCTCTGTACCTATCGTTGCATCATGCCTCATGCCTCGAGAAAAGATGCCTGCGGATGAATATCAAAAATCAAGGGGCGGATCGCTTCTTACATACTACCTACATAGGTAGTTAGATAAAATACCTCCTCGTATTTTCATCGCTTTATATGCGCTCCAATAGTTTATGACGGAGTGGAGTGTCCGGCTTAACTGAATGTCTTTCTCGATCCCCACAAACTTGCTGCATTCCTCGACACGGAACCATCATACCTAGGTAGGTATATGTTATGATGTCTCGCAATTAGCGAAGAATGGCCGAGTGGTGGTCTGGTGGTTTATCACGCAGTGCCACCCTACGTACCAGCTTCTCCATTCCGGCTGAATAGAAGGTACAGAGTCGCTTTCGCCTTGGTTGCCCTTCCGGGTAGGTAATCAAAATTAAATCGATGTGGCTTTCTCTCATCCGTCCGGGTGACCTAGGCTGCAGAACTGCAAGACCTGCAAGACCATCGCGTCCAACCTCATAACGTACAAGTTTATTACGACTCCATTGACCGCTGCGCTAAAGCGGACGAAAACTCCGTGCGTCGGTCATGTCTACAATACTGGACATGATGCACGGCACTTAATCCTGAGAACGTCATGGTTTCTAAATTTGATTGAGGGTTTTCCGGGAAATGCCGAACTGGTTGTACTGATTACTGATGTTTACGAACATCAAGTTATGCGAATATTCGGCCGTTTCTTTAGGGTCCGTCATCGACGTGAGAGGTAGGTGAGAGGTGTGAGGTGTGAGGGGACACTTTCAAGTGTGGAATTATTAATAGCGACGAATGGAGGTGAGAATACCAGAATACCCAAGGTTGTAGCACAGTGTTGGGGTTTGGTAGACAAGCTAGTACTGAACTACCAGGAACTACCAGATGGTAGTACCATTTGCACTGTAATTGTACTGCAATCGCACCACTCTGCCACTGTCACATTTAGGTGGCGTGCGGTTACTAATATGTTGCACAGTGTGGATCGACGACCTCTCTTTTTCTCCAGGTCGTACCTTTCTACCAATCCACTAATGCACCAACGCACCTCCCTAAACACCTTCTGAGACGGGTACAATACCACCAGGTTCTTAAGGGAGGCCGGTCCACTAATTAATTGACTTTCTGCCAACCAATCCCATCGAACCCCGGCAGGCTATGTACACTAGATGCCGCCCATCCAGGCCATCCAGGCCATCTCAATACCTTTTCCCTTTTCCCCACTTACATAGCAGGGATGAAATGCGATGGGCGTTCAACCAAGCGAAGTCTGACCTTTTGCTGCTTTTGCCCACCCCCGAACCAACCATCTGTTGGCTTCTTGTTGGCTTCTTGTTTGGCTTCCCATCTCCCGTCTCTTTTACATCCCAAGACTTCTGGGCGCCCAGACATCAACCTCGAACCTCAAGAACCGACGAAAATCATCCACGCTAACGAATCCGAACGAACTATTTGTTTTACTCAGCGTTTTTTAAAAAAAAAAGTAATTGAATTGACGGAAGGGATTAATTGGAAGATCGATTGTTGTCGCGGGGCGAACCGTCATCTTTGGCGAAGCGAGGTTATACCGCGCATATACACCGTACTCGACCGACCGACTCGACTACGTAACACGGGCCCGTCGCGTTCTCGAAGCCCTCGTAGGCTATCCCTATTCCATGGCGAATGCCTCGCGGTAGCATCGCAAGTGCCTGAACGTCGTCGCCTAGCGACTGGCCGCTTGTTCGCCCCTCTACGATGGGTTCGCACTACTTTCGGCAGCCTAGGGTGGCTGCTACGACGACATTGACTCTCGATGCTTCATGCACGCCTTATGCCATCCCTTCGAGCGGTCTATTGCACATTCCTGGAGCCGATCCGACGTTTTTAACGGCCAACGCCATCTATTCGCCTCTCTGCACGCCCACCGCTATGCCCCAGCCCGCTATCATCGTGAACGGAGCCTTCGATTTGGACCAAACATCATCGGATTCCGGTCCTCAATTCTCCGACTTCCGCGATCCCTTTTACGCCTCGATCTTCCCGCAATGCTACGCTCTAGCTGCTACGACGGTTCTTGCTTATTTGCTTCTTATCATGCTTGTTATCGCGCCTCGATCGTTCCTTGATGGTGGAGTTGTTGTCTTAGGCCGGCGTGGATTCACAAATGGTCCTTCGAATGGTATTAGTATTGGTGGTCGTCCGTGGCTGCAGAAGGTTGCGGCTTTAACCGTGGCTATATCTTTATCTATTGCTACGGCGGATACATTCCGCGTAGCTGAGAAACAGTACGCGTTGGGAATTCAGAATGCACAACAGCTTCAGGACGATGTGCTGGGAGGAACACAACTGAAGGTCATTCAGCTTATCTCCGATACGTTCCTCTGGCTGGCCCAAGCCCAGACCCTGATACGACTATTCCCTCGACAACGCGAGAAGGTTATTATTAAATGGACGGCTTTCTCGCTTATTACGCTGGACGTCATCTTCGGCGCTCTCAATAGCTTCCATTACACCAAACAAGGCAATACTAGGCCGCGCAGTTTTACGGACGCTGTGCCGGCGCTTAGCTATCTGTTTCAACTATCTTTAGGTCTATTATATGCTGCATGGGTTCTCTATTATTCACTCATGAAAAAGCGATACGCTTTCTACCATCCCCTTATGAAGAACATCTGCCTCATGGCAGCTCTTTCTATAATATCGATCCTTGTCCCGGTTATCTTCTTCGTCCTCGACATAGCAAAACCCGAATTTACTGGATGGGGTGATTATGTTAGATGGGTCGGTGCCGCCGCAGCAAGTGTTGTAGTATGGGAGTGGGTTGAGCGGATTGAAGCGTTAGAACGCGAAGAGAAGAAAGATGGAGTTCTAGGAAGGGAGGTGTTTGACGGCGACGAAATGATGGAGGTATTTCCTTCGGACCTTTCATGGTCTAAGCGGCGGAAGAATAAAAGAAAGAGCGATGATGGTGATGATGATGATGATGGGGGGGAGAGTGGTTACAGTTCGTTATCGGGCGGCCGCAGCAATATGTGGCCAGCTATGTCGTCTATCGCTAGCAGGTATAGGTCGAGGACGGAGAATAGCCCGGATGGGAGACAACAAGCCGCTACGACGGGCAGGTCAGCAGCGCGGTTCTTACAGCCCCCACTATGGCCTTCTCGGCCACCTCCGGCAGTTACACCGGTAAGTAGAACGGATACTGCAAGCGCTGATAGCACCGTTTACGCGGTACGATATCAGCCTCTTACGGAGACGACTTCGAGGACTACAGACGATAGGCATGGCCGACCCTTGTCTAGAAGCAATAGTGCAACCTCGTCGGCATCAAGTCCTGTAGCAGAAAGCAATGAGCAACCTGGGAGCACGCCGCCATCGCGACAACCCTCGTCAGCGCACGCCGCGGAAAAAAGAAATGGCGAGGAAGGAAGTTGGAGCCGCTGGAACCATTTGAACCCATTCCACCGTACCGCGAAGGAACCCCCAGCGGAAGTCCTTCCGCACACAATACCAAAACAACCGAAACGACGCGATTACGAAAGCGTTGGTAGATGGGACCTCAGGGGACGGGTAGAAATATTTGCCGCTACACAGGCAGAGAGAATCCTAGAAAGGGTTCGGCCGACTCCGGATACAGATAGCTTGCCGGTTACCGTTATACCCGCCCCTCCACGTCGCGGCGCGGCGCTGGCTCAACTACTGGAAGAAGAGGAACTACAAATAGAGTCACATGAACAGTCACATGAACCACCAATATCTACCTCTTCGCCACCGGCGCATATGCCGAGGAGTACGAGCGTCGCAGCCGGTCCCACGCCACATTCGTATCATGTTACTAGAAATAACAGTACGGCATCGACCGTGCCCAGGCCAGCTCCAGGTCCAGCGGAAAGGAATAGCACATATGTTCATAGGCCGCCTAATACGCGTGATATCGACTCGTTGACAACTCCAACCCATAGGACTGGAGATCAACGAGAAAGAACGACTAGTGGAAGGCGGCCGGTGGACGATATATTAGGGGATGACCAGCATCACGCGTCGTCACCTGTGTAGCGATTTCCGGTCCATTTCTATCGAATATTCCTGTGATGTAATGGCAGCGCGGCGCTCGGGGTGCTTTGTTTCTTTGGCTACATTGTATGGCGCATTGGGTTCAAAAAGGGAAGGAATAGTGAATTTCCACCCATTTATTATGGCGTACTACTTACTGGATTGATCTGTTGCGACATATATCTGCATTGACGGAGTACTGTTACGCGTATATACCTAGTATACTCGATAAGTGGCATCGGCTGCTGTATATAGGAGCATCTTTAGCATTGCCACTCGGATTGAGAGTGGGAGCATCGACGGCGCATTGACGGCGCATTTGAATTGAGAGCGGACTGAGTAAAGGCTTTTAGTCAAGAAGCCTTTATCGAATGATGTTAGTTTATATAGCATGAGCCTAGGCAGCTTACTATGCGGCATTTGGGTCATGAATATGAAGCGATTATCATTTGCTAAATTTGATATCATATGGTTTCTAGGTGATGTATCATTATTTGTGCCGAGGTGACTTGCGTGTCATAGCCGACAGTGTTATAGTCATAACTCACAACTCGGACCGTCGAAGTGTTAGATATCTCTTATGGCCCCTGCATAGTATCTGTGGTTGGTTTAGCGGTGAGTTATGTATCTTAACTCGTACGGGAGGACGTGCGCCGTTGTTGCATATTTGCAAGAATGAAGCAGCATAGAGTCATCATCAAACTCTATGCATATTTAACGTTCACCGCATTGACAGAATGAAAAGTTATGCTGAAACAAAGTTACTGTGCCTCGGTTGAAATGTGAAGGCGTCTGGGCGTATGTACGAGTATAAGTAGGTGGAGCTGGCATAGCTGGTAATGTTATCCTGACAGAGAGAAAGTGGCCAATCAAAAAATTATATGCTTGCCCCGCTATGTGCTCATGGCTGCTGGCAGAAAGGGTCCAACTTAAAAGTTTTATTGCTCAATCTTACCTACAGCACTTAAAAGCATAAATATGAGTTCTTAACGGGGCTTAGTACTGGTCCATTAATGCTAATCTGCCTATCAGACCTATCAGACCTATCAAATCATATCAAATCTCATGCACTACCGACCGCCGACCGCTGGCACTACCACCACTTAGTAACACCGTAACTTTTTATCTCCTCTTCTTCTTTCTCTCCAACAAGTCACCTCAATTCTTTTTTTTTTACCCGCCTATCGATACTAGAAGTCTGGATTGCTTTCACTCCTTAAGCATTCTGGGATCGACTAGGCGGCCGGGTTCGTCAAAGCCGAAAATTCCAATTGCTCATACCACACCTATTAATAGTAGGCGTCCTCACGTCATCTGCTGCGTGTCTATCTTCGCAGCTCCTTTCGTCTTACCTACCTAAGTCTTCTGCGACAGTATCGACCTCTGTGACAATGACACCGCAAGAACCATTTCCTATCCTCAATACCTCGGCCGACCAATTACACTCGGCGGCTGATCAGGGAAATGCGCGTCGGCGTAGGAAGTCGAGCGTACTCGGTACGGACATCAGGGTGGGAGACACGGGTGCGCCTAGTTTGCAGGCCAGTCTCGCGACTTTTCAAGATACGAATGGACATACGCAAAAGCCACCAACACCGGATGGCAAGGAAGTGTCTAAAAGGGGCTCAAAGCGGCGCAAAGCCCGCTCCTTTTTGCGTCGCTGCAAGCACTACGCCCTCAAACATACTTGGGTCTTACCCCTAGTTCTCTTGGCCATCTTCCTGTCTGTGTACGCCATTAACCCGACCGAATCGAACCCTGTTCACCACTTCATCTTCCTCTCGTACAAGCTCCCGCTCGAGGCCGGTGCTGACCCAGAAGCGCCTGTCCAATATGGCAAAGGACCGTGGGATATCGCCTTCGTATCTTTCTATACCGTCGTCCTCTCCTTTACGCGCGAGTTTATCATGCAAGAACTTCTCCGCCCGCTCGCCAGGAGAGCCGGTCTAAAATCGCGTGCCAAACAGGCGCGTTTCCTCGAGCAGATGTATACCGCCATCTATTTCGGGTTCTTGGGACCGACCGGTATGTACGTCATGAGCCGGACCCCTGTTTGGTATTTCAACACCCGCGGCATGTATGAGAACTTCCCTCATAAGACGCACGAGGCCATGTTCAAATTCTACTATCTATTCCAGGCCGCCTATTGGGCCCAGCAGGCTATTGTCCTCTTGCTTGGTATAGAGAAGCCGCGAAAGGACTACAAGGAGCTCGTTGGCCACCACATCGTTAGTTTGACGCTTATCGCGCTAAGCTACCGCTTTCATTTCACCTACATAGGTCTGGCTGTCTACATTACCCACGACATTAGTGACTTCTTCCTTGCGGTAAGTCTGATCCCGTACCCTCGGATGCTTTAAGTTGTTATGTGTAATACTAATAGATTTGAACAGACATCCAAAACCCTTAATTACATTGACCACCCTCTAGTGGGACCTTATTTCTTCGTCTTCATGACCTCGTGGGCCTACCTACGTCATTACCTCAATCTTCACATTATCTATTCGCTATTCACCGAATTCAAGACTGTCGGCCCTTACGAGCTAAACTGGGAAACCGGGCAGTACAAGTGTGAACTCGCTTTCGTTATCACTCTCACCCTTCTCTCGTCTTTGCAGGCTCTTAACCTGTTCTGGTTCTTCTTCATCGTGAGGATCGCTTACCGTTTCATCGTCTATAACGAAGCGGACGACGACCGTTCCGAGGCTGAAGAATCTGATATTAACGAGCTAGAGAACGAGAAGGCGGAGGCACCGAAAGCGATTAAGGAGAGCACCGAAGCGACGCCGTTGCTTAACGGCAATGCCAACGGGAATGGAAATGCAAACGGCATTAAGACCCGCTCGAACGGGTCGGCATCGGCGTCGAAAAAGAAGGCGGCCCGATAGAAGGTTGGCCGCTTTTTGCCTTGGATTCACGACATTCGCTTGTAAAAAATTTAACTAGTAGGGGGCTTGTATGTACAACACGATACAGGATTTCAGCATAAACGGCGGGCGTAGACGAGACTATTGGTATTTGCGGGAATTGCTACGAAACGCAATTCCCCTTAAAATAAGTACCAGTACGTTCCCTGGCGACCTGTCCAAACGATCATAGGCATAGGCGTTTAGAGAACGGGGCTTAGCATCCCAAGCCATTCGCTCACGGGTCATGGGAACGGCGCATACGGGGAGATTCTTGGTCGCTTGGGTACGTTGCCCGGGAATGAGACGGGAAGCATGAGGGGAAGTCGTTGGTTTGCGGCGGGTAAGGGAACACGTTGGGACTAATCCGCCTGGGGCGCTCAGCGTCCACGAGCTTGCTTGCTGTTGTTTGTTTGCTTGCTTGGTATGGATGCTACGGGAGCTGTCTCGCTGATTAATGTGCTAACGACGGAGAGGTGGACCAACGATTTTGACCAACGATGAGCATAGCATGATGAGAAGAGAGCATTTGTCCGTTCTTTTTTTTTTTTTTTGCTTTTTGCTTTTTGCTTTTGTCTTTTTTCTACTACCCCTTCTTACGTACGATAGTTAAAACCCCATAACCAACCCTCCCCCCCAATATATATATAATTCTTAATAAAAGATGATGGCCTAGTCCCTTGCCATACGTACATAGTAAGCAAAGGCCTGCTTCGTCTAAGCCGTACCGAGACCCTTGATATGACGCGTCTGCTCCGCTCGACCGAGAGATAGAAGGGGGGATTTACGATGCACGTACATACATTGACTAAGCTAAGGAAAGGGGAGGAAGAAAAAGAAAAAGAAAATTCTATGTACGTTCTTCCCGGATACGACGGTATTCCCATGGAACATTGCGGAAGCTGGCGTCCCCCGGATTACGCCTTGATATACGTACATAGGCTAAGAGGAGGTAGTATCGTAGATAGACCGTCATTTGTGCTTGGTACCTACATTAGGGCACGGTACGTGTTTCTTGGCTGGTGTAGGGGGAGGGGGCCGCGGGTCGTTCGTCCCGAGGCCCTGGTGGCCGGCACGTCGGGGCTTGGCTTGGCTTGGCTTGGTTTAGTGTCTTGGTGCTTGGGTAGATATGGTTGGTTGGGTATGGTTGGGTATATATGGAGTTGGATAGGTAGATATATACTATGCTATACTATACTATACTATATATGTAGATAGCTTAGGTACCTAAGGTAAGGTAGGAAGGAAGGAGACTTGTAGATAGATAGATAGATGGATAATCAATCACACGTGGTTCGGGCCGTTGGTCCCCGGTTCCGAGCTCGGAGAACACGTGGTGTCGCGGGCGGCGGTGCGGCGGCTTGCGGTGAGCGAAAAAGCTATGGCTATTGTTATACTATAACTAGGGTGAGTGGGTAGGTTAGGTAGGAAGGATGGATGGAAGGAAGGAAGGAAGGAAGTTAGTACGGAGTGTACGGAAGTCCCCATCAAAAGTTTTGTCCATAGGCCAGCCCTTATTAGCTTTTAACTAGCTTTAACAGGGCTTAGCAACAGCTGTAGGCCATTGAGCGCATATACTATCCATAGTACACTACTTTCGCTTATACATAATAACTCAAAATCTTGTCCTTAAACAACAAAAGTTATATAGGCGTATAAAGAAGCTTTTTTACTTATAATAGATCCAATTTTAATGGCATATTAAAGCTAAAATTGGATATGTTATAAAAGCTAAAATTTAATCAAAAGCTGTTAGGTGGCACGTATGGACAAAACTTTTGATGGGGACTTCCGTATACTATGGTTAGTTAGAGTATAGGTAGGTAGGTTATGTAGTAGACGGCCCTTTTGCTAGTGTGTATTTATTCCATGCTATACCTAAGGCCCCAGAAATCCATTCCATAGTAGTTATAGTATAGTAATCCTTCCAATGTATAACTAACAAATGTGGAAAGACAAGAAAAAAAAGAAGAAGAAAAAAAAGGAATACCGCCGCCACCGCCTCCGTCGCCTGCCTCTCTTCTTCTTCTTCGTGAGTGACTTTTCTATTACATACCCTCCAAGTACCGCATATGTACCTAACCTACCCAGACAGACCAAACCACCTAAACTAACTACCTAAACTACGTACCATGTTTCATGTCTGGGTTAGGTACTTAGGTTAGGTAGTTATCGTGGGTATGTATGTGGCTCCGTGGAAATATGTTAGGTACCTACCTAACCTAAGGTATGGAAGTATATACCGCACCGCACGAGACGGCGGGCGGTCAGGGCGGAAAAGTAGAAGGCAGGACAAGGGCCCCTTAAAAATGATAATAATAATAAATCAAGGAAGAGGGTCCAAGCCGAGCCGGGACCTTTTTTTTTTCTTAAATTCTTTTGGATCCTATATCATGTCTTAGTATAGTAGGTAACTATAGTATAGTATAGTGTCGTATAATATACGAAGTAACTAGCCGTAACATTATCCATTCATTCATTACTCTACGTACGTATGTATCCGTTCTCCCTTCTCCGTTCCCCATCTTCCATCTTCTATATCCAGCCCAGCTTAGTTTCCATGCTATTCCCTTCCACGCAAATCCTACCCCGTCCCCATCACCGTCACCGTCACCGTCACCGTCACCTTGCTTGTGCCCCTCCCCCTGCCGCCGGTACAATACATAGGAAAGTAGCACGCAAACAAGACCTACAAGCAACGTTGCAAGGACCCTTTGCTGCAGGTACGCGCGCATACACTTTACATCTACCTACCTATCTACATATTACTACCTTGATCGCAATAATTATATCAAATCATACCTACTGCACTTACTAAGAGCCAGACAAGGTAAGAATGGAAAAAGGCATCTAATCCCTACCCTACCCTACCCCAACCTATCCCAGGGGAAAGAAGAAATAAAGAAAAGAAAAGAAGAAAAAAAATGCAACGCTACCCGGGACGTATGTAGAGATAGGGGTTCAGATTTATATTAGCCATCATGGCAGATCTCCCGCTTTGCCGGCATGAAGAAACGCGAGCCGCACGCGAGCGAAACACCCCGGACCAGGGAGGGTTGCTTTGGACGAGTTTGTGGTTTGGGGTTTGGGGTTTAGGGGAAACGATTTGGAATTGCAAAAGGGTTGCAAGACTGTAATGTAACATCATCATCAAATTGCCACGCAGCCCAAGACTTAAGAAATCTTTCAGCCTCATTCGAACCTCACGTGGTTTTGTATAGGTACGCACATAATCTACTTTGAGAAAGCTTTCCGTTATTAACAGTCGGTCCATTGGGGATGGGTTCCTAGGGTCTACTCATTTGCAATACACATTTCTCCTTCATCCATCATCCCTCATCCCTCATCGCTCATCACACACCTCATGCTACCTATTATCGTCATCTCATTAAGGTGGTACTCCGCCCACCGTTCAAAAGCCAATAGCAACCCGACTGACTTGATCCGGACCAGAAAATAAAATAAAATGATGTGTAATTAAAAAAAAGCAGAAGCCCTTCCTCCCCCTTCCCCTCCCGACATTGGTTTGTTTCCGTTCCGTTCCGACCTGTTCCATCCCGTCTTTGCCCGAACTTTTTTTTTTCTTCGTGTAAAGGGCCATGACTGATCGTCTGCTGTGCGAACAACGATAGTGAATTAAATAAGACAGAATCACATAGGTCTTTTTGGTATCGTTGCGAAGAATCGTGATAACCGGAAATGCAAAGCCGCCGACTGCCTCCTATGTAGAGGCGTCTTTTTTCTGTATATGCCACCAACGCCAATGTTTAATGCAATGCCCGGCAGGCCAGGGCGTGAGAAGCTCATTAGGCAATAAAAACTATATATCGCGGAAAATGGGAATATGGACATGAATCGAGCCCGAGTCAGTGGACATTAGAATTAGTGGGTCGATCGAGGGGAGCCTTCAACCAGCGTCGTAGATTCTGACTGGCCGCCGTGTCGTCCAGGAGTAACCGACTCGTCAGACGAGCTGCTCGAGTCGTCGTGGCTGTTAGAGTGCTCGTTTCGGCTGTGGTGGTCTCCCGAAGCCGCAGGGATATTAGCCTTTCGCAGAAGCTTTTCAGCCTTACGCGTCGCATTACGTGCGTCTTCGGCCGCCTTTTCGGCTTTTGCCTGGCGATTCCACATGGATGCGTATCGACCATTAAGCTCAAGAAGCTTCTCGTGCGTACCCTTCTCGACGATGGTTCCTTGATGCAGCACAAGAATCTGATCCGCATGGGTGATAGTAGACAGACGATGCCTAAAATCGGTTAGCTGACATAGTTTTATCACATATCATACATGTGGGAACTTACGCAATGATGAGCAATGTACGGCCGCGACCGATGGTGGCTAGTCGGGACTGAATCTGCTGCTCTGTGTGGCTATCAAGAGCCGAGGTAGCCTCGTCCAGCATGATAATCTTTGGATTCTTAAGCAGGGTTCGGGCGATGGCAACCCGCTGCTTCTCGCCGCCGCTTAAGCGAAGACCTCGCTCTCCGACCTTGGTGTTATAGCCGTCGGGGAAAGACATGATCCTCTCGTGTATGCTGGCGGCTTGGCATGCGGCAAAAATATCGTCGTCGGTCGCGTGCTGATTGGCATATCTCAAGTTGTACATGAGGGTGTCGTTAAACAATATCGTATCTTGCGGTACTACTCCTATGTAGCGTCGAACCGAGTCGATAGTGACATCCTTAATATCACGGCCGTCTATCTTAATGTTACCCTCCTGGCAGTTAAAGTAGCGATACATCAGTCGGAAAAGGGTAGATTTGCCGCCGCCCGATTCGCCGACGAGCGCCGTGGTCGTGCCGGGCTCACATGTGAAGGTGAGGTTCCTTAGCGCAGGCTTCCTCTTATCGTATGCGAATTTGACCTTAGAAAATTCGACACGGCCCTCGCACGAAGTGACGTCGACGGCACCCGGACGATTAACTACCGTCGGGCGCTGCTTGAAGAGCTCTAGGAGGCGCTCCCCGGAGATCATGGCTTGCTGAACGGTACGGTAGAATGTGCCGAAGAAGTTGAGCGGACCCTGGAGCTGGCCCAGATAAATCATCAATGTAACAAAGTCGCCCACTTTTCGGCTACCCATTGTGACCTGGTACGCTCCAAGCATCATGGTGACCAACATCCCTATCATGAAGACTAAAGACTGGCAAATGTTCATGGTACTTATACTCCACGTGACCTTGGCCTCGGCGACTTGGAAATTGTTGATGGCCTCTCTGTACCGATTAAACTCGAAGTCTTCCGCGTTGAAATACTTAACCGTCTCGTACGAGATGATGGAGTCGTTCTTGACTGCTTCTTCTTCCCTATCCGCGTTGGACATTGCTCGCCTCTGGTCGGCGGTCTTGGACGCCATGCGTATGGTCAAAAACAAATAATAGAATGTAATTGCGCAAACGATGACGGCGTAGACGGCATCAAACTTGACGTAAAAGTAGCTTATAGCCACAAACAAGTCGATGAGCATCGGAAAGACCTGGAATGTAACCTGCTCGAGGAAGGAGTTGACCGAAGAGCCTTTGTTCAATGCGGATAAAACCTCGCCGGTCCTCTTGCCCAGATGGAAGTCAAGGCTTAGGGAATGCACGTGCTCAAACGCGGACGTGGTAAGAGCTCGGTAAGTGTGCTGGGAAACGGGAATCCATAGCAGAGATCTCAAAGACCCCAAAAGCCCAGACGGACCCTGCAGTAACTTATACACAATAAGTAAGCCGAGCGAGAGCCATGGCATAGTGCGCGTTTCGCCTTCCTTAAGATCATCTCCCGAGAGCTGATTCGTGACAACACCGATCTGGTAAGGGACCATGATGTTCACCATCCGCTGAAGAACTAATAGGACAAAGCAGACTACCACGATAATCTGAAGTCGCAGCTGTTTGTTAGGCCACATGTAAGGGAAAAAGACGGAATAACCCCGGAGGTATTCAAACCACGTTGTATGTGGTAGCTTTTCCGGGCGGTAGAATCCGGCGTCTTCGTCAACCATGGGGTGGCTCGCATCGGCATTGCCATTAGCGTTACCGTTTGCGGCACCGTTTGCGCCCGGGCGGGAAGCATGCCCATTGGTGCGGTAGCCATTGGCCTCGCCATTTAGGAGGGGTGTGGATTCGTCAGCCTCGTAATCATATTCCTGTCCATGCTCGTATTTCTCTGGCTGCGCCCGCTTTCTTAGAAAGACGATGGTATAATAAACTAGGATCATGCCAACCAGGATGGCGATTCTTCCGAGGGATAGGCCGAGGTCAATCATGTCCCACTTGTCGACGCCATCTACAATCACGTACTTTTCGCGATTGAGGTTGACCATGACTTTGTGGGGGCGGGATAACACCACCGCATCGCAAACGAAAATGATGATTTCCCCAACAAGAGCAAAGCTCCAAGTGAGGATATGGACCAGGCTCGGGCTGCTTTTCCAGTCAAACATCGTCAAAGTCAAGTATACGTAAAGAAATGCTGATCCGAGGACGAATACCTATAATTGGCACAAAGTTAAAAATCATCCCAACATAATTAGTTTTAACCGTAGGGCAGAAACTCAAAAACCTAAAATAAAACAAAAATAGCTTACGGTCTTCGGTTCGCCGCACCACCAGCCATGTTCGCCGTCCGCGCTCCTATGAATTAGAGCACGGGCAGCAATTGCGGCGCCTTGAGCGAGGAAGGTTAGAGTTGCTATAACCATAGAACCCTGGAAAAACCTCCTGGCATTTGGGCTAAAATCGTTAGGATCCGATGCGTCGTCGTCGGATAATCTTCTCTTGGTAACGGGAAGCGGCTTGCCGCCTGGACCTCGGATAGTAGGTACGACTACATCCTCCTTACGCATAGCGGTGTAGACAGAGTGTGTGGCGCCGATGATGATGAAGGCCAGCAGGAGAAGATCCGGGTAAAGGTACTGAGTAACGTCTCGAACCCTCTCCGCCGAGGAGTCGGGAGGGTTGATGATGACTTCCGCCATCTTGCTCTGTGAAACGTATAGGTCAGCATATATGTTGACGGATAATACATAAGAAGTGTACAAATCGGACTCGAGCATTGCACTGCATGCTGCAAGGCGTGCTTGACGTACATATTACTGACGACAATGCTTGCACTGGGTCATTGCCGCAGCTGCAAAAGATCACGACCCCCAATTGCTTCAAGCAGTAGAGCCCGCAACTGCTTGACTGCGACTGCGATGCCTAGATTTGCTTGCCTACGGCAGCGGTGATTTTTTCAAGAAATCAACAAGAGACCGAAAGCCAAGTGTTTTCCTAAGCTCGGCACAAGTTAGTGGAATCCCGAGTCCATGTTTCTGGTGGGGCAGGTCACCAGACGGTGTTAGTGGCAAAAGCCACGCTCTGGAGCAGACTGACTCGAGACTAGCGTACCTGATAAAGAAGGGGAAGGGAAAGGATTAAGGGTCTCTCTCTCTCTGTGGTCCAAGCTGGTCCGTCTATGTATGAGAGGGAGAAGCAAGCAAGCAAGCAGGCAAGTGACTAGAGGCGTTGCTCGGTTCTAGCCAGGATCTGCGCCAGGGGGGATATAACTGACCCTTTCGATGGCACGATTTTTATGTATTAGGGATCCAAGTAACAACAGCGAGCACGAATAGGCTCGGCTTGTGAATGCTGTCTAAGGACGGGGTACAATGAAGTGGGTAACTCTATGCTTTGACGGGGGTAAAATGTGAAAAGTCAATTGCAAACGAGTGTATGTTTTAATTGGAAAAATAAATAATAAGAAGGAAAAAACAAAAACAAAAACAGGATTCGTTAAAAGAGGTGTTGTTGTAGAAAGGTTGGAGGATCTTCTCTTCCCAAGCGGCAATACTGTCGCACAAGAAAACCAAAGTGAGATGCGTAAAAGCAGAAAGTTGACAAGGGATCCGTATTGAAATGGGGCAAGGTAGTAACAGGGACAGGAAAAAAGGTGGGATGTGCCTGTTCTTGAGTACCCAAATTCGCCCAAATTCAGATCAGGCAACCCGAACCCAGGGTAAGATGTTGATAGATCCTTGTAAAAAAAAAAAAAAAAAAAAAAGGTAGGGCGGTAGAGACTGGAATGGATACAATATTGTAAAACTAGTAAGGGCTAGCGTTGTTTGAACAAGGACGCAAGAACACAAGGACGGGACTGGATGGCTAGAAATAAGAATGGGAAAAAAGATGGTGGATGGTGTATGGCGTATGAAAGAGTCGTGACGATGTTAATGATGACTTTGACAGTGACTATGATGGTGATTATGATAATAACAACGAACAAGATACACACATAGGCACACGCACGCTGATACTGATACACACTTTCAATGTAGTAGTGGTAAAAGTAATAGGTAGTAAGTAAGTAACAGCGGTTGGTTGTGGTGATTAGTTGGTAAGAAGGTGGTGCGAGCAAGAGCGACGATGTGTGGGTGGATAGGTTGGCAGGTTGGTAAACCGGGCTTCTAGACCCGAACTGGTAGATGCAGGTTGATGGGGAAAGCTCAAGAAACAATGCTGAGCTGTCGGTAGTCGCGGTGGGAGTCGCCGTTGCGGGAAAGATGGAGGATTTCCCTAGTTTAGTTGTATTGTGACCTGAAGGCCGAGTATCTTGGATGTTCTTTCCAGGTTCTGCACGCGTCGTAAAAGGTACCAGGTACCGAGTTGATACTAACAGGTTTGATACCGGAACGCTCTAGGGCTGCTGGGCTGCTAGGGTTATCGGGCTATCTAGCGGACAATAAAGCTATTCTAGGACATCTAACTGTTAGAGGACCGAAACGAAAACAACAAAAGAAATAAAATAAAAATAAATTAAATTAATCAACATAGGTATGTATGTGTACGTTGACATAAAAATGGGCTGGGCCAAGGCCACGGGAGGATAATAGGGCAATAGGGCAATAGGACCAAATATTAGACGCAGCTGTATAAGCCCAAAATCTCCCTAGCTTATGATGATAATGTCGAATAGGGACATGTGGTTTGTCAGAGAGGCTTACACAAGTTAACCAAACGGCTTGTAGCCTCCTCACCGCCTTGCATCTAGCTCTGCACTTAGTGAGGGTCGAGGTTGTGATTGCAGCAAGCCTGCATGCATGAAAGTCTTGGACTTTGTTCGTTTCGACCAGGGGGGGATATTGGGCGGTGCTCTAGACGCCTCTGGTCTAGTCTAATGAATAATAAAAATAAAAATAATAAAGCTGTCCTTGATGGTGGGTTCTTCGGAAGAGAAAAGGTGTGGTGGGGTATATCTGCGGTTTATGATTTGTGGTCTGCGTTCCGTGTTAACTCCCCTCCCAGGTGTGTGGTTGTGTGTGGTCTTTGCTTTGCTGTGGCTGTGGGCGGCGGTAGTTGTGCTGTACGGTGATGCACAGCAACGCACAGCTGTGTCGAGATGATAGTGGTAATAAAAAGAAATATATAAAAAAAATATAAAAAAACAGTGGTGGTAATAATAATAAGTGGGATAGAGCTTTATGGGGAAGAAGGGGAAGGGTATATTATAGCTTCGTGGTTGTACAAGGCCATACAAAAAGACTTCTTCCAGCTTACAGCAACCCTCAAATAGACAACCCCCCAAGAACCCAAGAGCTTATGAGGAGGAAATGGAAATGGAAATGGCGTTCCAGATAGAAACCTCGCCTGTGGGAGAAGATGATAATAGCCTTTTTTGACAACTGCAACCCTATGGTGAGCCGACGGACCATGGACCAGAGTGGATAAGGGAGATGGGACGATCCCTAATTTATAGATTAGCAACGCGTCACTAGGTTATAGGAAGAGCTTGGAGCTTTCTATATCCATCTGTGACTCGTGCTCCCATGACGACTTTTGTTCTCGCTCGCCAGTGTAACGACTAACAGCTTCCTTAAACAGCCGCATTTGTCTCCATCGCCCGTTAGGCTGGACGCCTTTTTCTGTGCGTTGTATCTCTGCAGCCGAAAAGGTAAAGGTAATATGTGTTCCCGTCCGTACCTTTGTGCGACATGCCTTGTATTGGCGTGTGACAAAGTAATACCTATAGGGCAAGTATATGGGTGGTATCTTGCCTCAAATGCTTGTTTCGATGCTTTCCCGTTACCCAAGAACCACCAAGGAGCATGGGGCAACGCAAAAGACGCAAGGATACTTCGTACATGGAGAAGTAATCCGCATGTACTTGGAATACTTTTAGAATAAACCCCCCCTCCCCCCATATTCTACCTAGGGCACATCATAGGGTTGTAACTACCTGAGTAGACGAGAGCTGATCAACTAGATCATCTGATACTCGATGGCCAGTAAAGCTTAACATGATGGATATGAGCCAACTGTCCCGGCTTAATTCGGATAGAGTCCCAACTGTTGTACATTTGTACGTAAAGGCACTTGCCAGATGCAGGTCCAAACGAGAAGCTAGACGAGTATAGGATTGGGGATTGGTGTCTACTCTCACGCGAGTACCATTGTACCGTTGGGCTGGTAGCTAAGTCAAACGCACCCGGTACTTCCTATAAGGCGCGGAGGGAATAAGAGAGAGGTAGATTCCTCCCTCCGAGAAATATGAGAAAAGCCCTTGTAAGCGAGCCTTATTAAGGAAAGCAACCTACTCTACCCCCCGAAGGTACCGTACTCCCCTCCGTCTCACTTGGTAACCTGAAGAACCTGCTCCAGCGCCCAATATGGCAAAGGGAAGGGGGGAGGGAAATTAAGATATCGAAAGAAAGAGAGGAAGAAAGAAATCGGGACGGCAGATGGCCCGCGAGTTCACCGACCGTCTTACTCCCAACTTCGGCATCGCATTGCCCCAGATCACCAATCCCGTCACCTCTCCTATGGCCTTCAAGAGTATGAATGAACATCGACTTCAACCGGCCGGGAACGTAACTCATCCCACCAGAAAGTTTTCTGCACCTCAGCTTCCCTGCAGCTCGCTTGTCTGTCCCGAAGTCTGTCAAGGCTGGGTCAAAACTCTTGGCGCCTCTCCTGACTGGTTATTCTCCTGACCGACTTGTTCGATAAGGCACGATAAGATCCTAACCTGGCGACCGGTCTGGATGTGGATACCGTTTTCATGCAGTCAGATTCTGAAAATCGACAAACATGCCTGCCGACCAGAATCCCATATTCAATCATGCCTATCAGTCTTTCCTTTTGCGGAGTTCGGCTCCGTGTCCGTGTAATAATAAGTGTGGTATCCCTCCGCTGAAGGGTAGTTGGGGACCGATTCCTGATTCCTGAATTCTGCAATTCCGCACTTCTCGTTCTCCGCCATGCATTCCAACTTCGCAACGTGTCATACAGCAGCCTACAGCAAGCCACCGGCAAATCGCAGTAGGGCATTGGCAAATTTGAGATGACATGAATGACAGTAGCGCCCCCCACACACTCCGTCTTTGGTGCCATGCTATCACAACGAATTGGCGGGTATATAGTGCCCATCACCATTGAAACATTATTTCCCGCCGACCATGAGATGTTGGGTACGGATGCAGTCTAAGTTGGTACGCTGACTCTTACTTTTCGGATTACGGCTGCCAAGGCCGTGTGATAGCTGATAGCTCACGGAGGGAACTCTAGCGATGCCCATCCGCAACCACAACCCGGCACGATAAAGGGCCGCTGGGGATTTCTGCCGCGTGGGTTAGACAGGCATTACTTGCAGCTTAGAAGGGAGTAATGCGCGGTCCGCTTTCATGGGTCACCTCGGCTAGCCTTCTCCGATATGTCTACCATAGTACTGTATGTTCTGCAGCTGGAACACAGATTCGTCTTCTCGGCACTCTTGTCGGACATCCCTGCATGTTCACCTGGATAGAGAACGGCAGAAGCCATGTCTCACAAGGCTGAGACTGCCTGGGGGTCTGGGGGCAATTCGGCACACGTCTATTGCGCCGCCTTCTACTTTGAATCATCAACACCCTCTACGGGGAAGACCGTACCAGTCTTCCAGCGAAGGCATCGGGATCCTTCAGGCGCCATGAAGCTAGCAATTAAGAAAACCGGAGCTAGCTTA